CCACGAGTGCCCTCAGTGGTAAGCAACCACCTGATCAGCGTAGAAGTCACCTCAGACTTCTTCGCCAAGGGGAACACTGTGGTGTAGCGGGAGTAGTCGTCAACGACCACCAAAAAGAAACGCTCGCGCTCAGGGCCAAGGCGAGGGGCGGGGCCCCAGACGTCCAAGTGGAGCGTCTCAAAAGGCTCGGTGGCCGGACGAAGGGAGGAGGAGTGAGGGGTGGCGCGCAGCCGACCCTCGACGCAGGGACCGCACGGCGATGCAAGCGAAGGCGGCAGCGACGGCAAGACATGCGGGAGGCCTAAGACAAGACGCTGACGAGACATAGCGCGCAGACGAGGGAGGGACGGGTGCCCCGTCCGGTGGTGCCACAGAACGGTGGGGTGAGCAAGCGACCGGCAGGAGCACGACGCAGGAACTGGACCAGACACGGGAACCTGACCAGACACAGCTACCTGGGGGGACGCAGCAACCTGGTGAGACGCAGGGACCAGACTGGGGGAAGTAACCGGGGCCGGGGACAGGAGTCGCTGCTGCTGCTGCCGCCGCTGCTGCTGCTGCTGCTGCTACTGCTGCTGCTGCTGCACACCAGGGTCAGTGTGAAGTGTGTAGAGACCTGAGCCCGGCTCCGCTGTAAAGATGGCAAGAGGCGCGTAAGTGTCTCCGTCAACACAAACCGCCGTCTCACCAGAGGGCTCAATCCACACACCCACGTGCTGACTCACAAGAGGCCTCACGCCCACCAAGTTCCTCGAGAACGAGGGGACATGGAAGCCAGTCAGAGACCCAGAGGGAACAGCAGGGCACGGAAGAGTAGTAGTGTAGCGAGCAGTGACTGGTCCCGAGGTGGGATCAGCCAGTGCCACAGAGACTGGCGCAGGAAGTGGAGTAAGTGTCGTGTGGTCCCTGAAGAAGCAGTGCGAAGCCCCAGAGTCCAAAGCGAAAGACAGCGAAGCGTCCTCCGAACGAGCTCCTGGACTAGTGTCTACACAAGTGCCTACACTAGCAAGAGGCAACTCAGCAAGACAAGCACCTAAGCTAGCAACACCCGAGTAAACAGAGTCAGAAGCACTAGAGTCAACAACAGCATACATAGCATGAGGAGTTCCTAAGAGATCAAGCAACTGAGAAGCTGACATGCCCCAAAGGGCAGGGTCGTACGTCTGAACAAGAGGAAACCAGTCAGGGGCAGGGCCTCCAACGCCGTAGGCCAAGCGAACCGTGTCAGTGAGCTGAGCAAAGCACATACCAGGAGGGTGGGTGCGACCACAAGGCTGGCCTCGGCGAGCACGTGTCAAAAGCTGATAGGTGCACGAAGGGTGAACAACACCTCGCTGAGGCTGACGCTGCCCTGGCCCCGAAACCTGCTACTGCCGCTGCTGCTGCGAGGGGAGGGGCTGCTGCTGCTGCTGCCGCTGGGCCAGGTACCACGCCGCTGCTCCACCCGCCGCGGCCGGCAGACCAGAAGGTGGCTGACGAGCCCGGCGTCGCCTCCACCAGCTACGGTAGCGGGGTCACCGGCCGCTGCACGAGACGCCTCTCCAGGCCCTGCACTCCCGCCGCCACCAGTCGGCACGCCACCCCCGCCACCTCCGCCGCCAATGCCTCCACCGCCGCCGCCACCTGTACCCTGACCGCCCCTCTTGCCACCTCTACCTCGAGACCGCGAAGAAGTCGTAACAGCAGCTGCGGTCACGTCAGTAGCAGCAGTGGCGAGAGAGGCTGTAAAGGTGGGCAGTTGAGGGACAGTGCACCCGTCGAACAGTGGAGGGGGCACAGCACCAGAGGCGGAGGCTACAGAGCGGAGGTTGCTCTCGACGTCCTTGAGCGCAGACTCAAGGACCTCGATAGTGAGCTCACTAGGGTGCTTCAAAAAAAGCGTGTCACGGACTGAGGCAAGGCGGTCAGGGAGGCTAGTGGCGATGAAGTAGATAGTAATCGCCATGGGGGGAGGGAGCAGTGCAAGCTGTGCGTCAGTGCAGGCAGCGCGGTAGCTAGAATCAAGCGAGCGTAGGTGAGCAATCAAGTTAGCAGAGCGCTCAAACGAGGCGAGGTCAGGGAACAGGAACGGTAGGAAGAGTCGGCCAAGAGAGACAGTGGTGGGAGTAGCGTAGTGGGCCTTAATCGCAGTCAGGAACTCACTAGCAGTGCGAACCTGAGTGAAGTGGGCCTCCTCAGAGTCAGGGAGGAGGCTGCTAAGAGCGATGCAGGCCGCAGCGTCACACGACTTCCACGCCGTGAGGTCAGCACGCTGGCTGGCAAAGCGGGCTCTAGCAGCGTTGTCAAGGGCAGAGCCTAAAGGCGTAGGGTCGTCGGGCGCAGGAAGGTCACCAGTAGCGTGCGCCCATAGGGACACACCCGCCTAGACCTGACTCTCTAAAAGGCGACGCGCGCACAGGAGCCAGACCGAGAACTCGAGGGGTCGACCGTCAGCGTCAAAACGAAGAACTCTAGGAGTCGCCATTGTGGAAGTACGAGCGACAGGAGGCGTAGTAGAGCAGAGGGAGGGCTCGCAGCAGGCCTAACAAGCAGGCGCAGCGGCGGAGAAAACAAGCAGACGTGGCAGCGCGAGCAAGCAGGCACGCGTGCAGAAAGAGACAAGACAGCACAGCGGGCGAAAGGCGGGCGTGCGTAGAAACGGGCGCAGCGAGCACTCAGGCGCAGGGCGCAGGGCGCGGGGAGGCACGGGCGCAGGGCGCAGGGCGCGGGGAGGTAACGGGCGCAGGGCGCGAGGAGGCGCGGGCGAAGGGCGCAGGGCGTAGGGAGGCGACGGGCGACGGGCGACGGGCGCAGGGCGTAGGGCGCAGGGAGGCGCGGGCGCAGGGCGTAGGGCGCAGGGAGGCACGGGCGCAGCGGGCGCGCGGGCGTAGGGACGACGCGGCGGGCGCGTAGGGCGGGGGTAGGGACGCGACGGCGGGCAGGCGCGACGCGACGGGCGTTTAGGGCAGCGGGGGGAGGGCGTGTCGCGACGAGTAGCGGGGGAGGGCACGACGGGACGACGGGCGGGGAGAGCGCGACGCGACGGGGGCCGGGGAAGGCGCGATTCGACGGGCAGCGGGGGGGGAAACGCGACTCGACGGGCAGCGCGGGAAAAAACGCGACCCGACGGGCAGCGGGGGGAAAAACGCGACTCGACGGGCAGCAGGGGGGGGAAACGCGACGGGCAGCAGGGGGGAGGGGGGGGGAGAAGGTCGCTACGCTACGAGAGCAGTGGATTGGCGGAACGAGTGGTAACGAACGAACGCGACTAGAGCGGGCCGGCGCTAGGCTCGGGCAAGACGTGCGCAACTAGTACGACAGAGTGAGACAGGCTCGGGCGAAACGAACGAGGTCGGGAGGAGCGGGATCCCACAGGATCCGAACCTAGGTGATACCATGTCAAGAAAGGAAGTAGTGATCTCATTGATGTGAGTTGGGGTACATATGACAAACCCTAACTTCTGTACCCCCTAAGACAAACCTCACTATAGGCTACAACATTTGACACTGGTGCACTGTAGCTGTGTGCAAAAACGATTGGGAATCATCGCTATTTTGGAAGAACAATATTGAGAGACTAGCGAGTGAGTGTTGCTGTTGCCGCTGCGCTGCTGCAGCTGCTACTGTTCGTGCTGCCACTTCACCCCCCATGCTTCCTCAACTTCCACCATCCTTGCCCTTCCCTCCCTCTCTCCCCCCACATATATCATCCGCCTTCCTTGAGTGTAGCAAGTTCCTAAGAATAACCACAAGACCTTGACCATGGAGACGTACAAGAATCTGTATTTGCACAAGAAGTTCGAAAAGGCCAAAACGTCGCAGACGAATTTCACAATCCACCACTATGCGGGCAAGGTCACAATTTACCACTATGCGGGGAAGGTGAGCCTCCACGCTTTTACACGGTGGGCCCCAATTTTCCGAAAGTATGTAAGAGTTCTCAGAGTCTGGCTCATGCTTATTTTGGCCCTCTCCTCATCATGTGACCTACCAAACAGACCTATTCCTGGAGAATGACAAGTATTCTTTTTTTGTGGAACACCATGAAGTGCTGAGAAAGTCAAGGGACCCCTGTACAAAACATTTTCCCCGAGCTCTCGAACAAGAATGTGAAGACCAAGTTCAAGCCAGTTGGTACCGTCTTTAAGGTCAGCACAAGCTTGTTTGGTTTTATCTGTCTATTTCTCTTCCTCTCTTCTTTCATGCTCATGGTCGTCCCTCTACGCCTCATCTCAACCTTGCCTTCCAAGAACAACTGCCACAACTTATGGCGACGCTGAGCCACATAGAGTCGGATTATGTGCAGTGTGTATAGCCCAACAACGAATCCCGGCCATGATGCTTAGAGAATCTTTACGTCGTCCAGCAGCTCAGATGTATGGCGCGTGCAATGCGTGGGGCGTGAGCTCAGCATGTGTGCAATGTGTCTCGTCTAACAAATCACATATACTTCTTGTGCTGATAACAAGGAGTTATGGAGGCCATTCGAATTAGCTGTGCGGAATACCTTGCCCGTCTTCTTTTTACCGAGTTCCTTGAATGATTCTCCAAGTTGGCACCAGACCTACAAGGAAAGTAGTGAAGCTCATGACGCAGTGAGAAGACTTCTCCACTGTTGTTCTATAACAGTTCTTCACTTCTTTGCTGTCTCCTTTCTCTTTCTTTCAAGGACTTCCCCCTCTCGACCTCTGTCTTACCATGGACTGCCCTTTTGCAATGACAATGCTAAGGATGCTGTCACCCCTCGCTGAAGCGAATGGGGCTCAGCGACTCCTAGGTAAATGACGTAAATCAATGGCCCAATATATAAACACGTTGGTCTTGGGCATAAATAACAAACCCATTATGTCCCTTCTTGTCTCAGGTGGGGACCAACAAGGTGTTCTTGAGAGCGGGCAGATGACGAATCCTGAGTGCACAGGTGATTCAGCGTGCATGGCGGAAGTTTGTGAAGTTCAAGATGATGCAAGTCGGTGCAAATCATCCAGAAGCATGTGCGGCGACACTTACTGCTGAAGGCCATGCGCCGTAGTGACATCATCACCACTCAGGTGAGTGACGGTGAGAGGAGAGAAGAACAGTGATAAGGTAGTTCAGAGGGTTCTTCATGCTGTTTCTCTCTACACCTTGTTGCCTGACCCCCTAACGCTTCACATAAAGCCTGGCGGATCTAGCTATGTGGTTCGCAGGGACTATTTTTACTCTCGCGAGAGCGTCGTGGTCTTTCAGAGTGCTTGGAGGACGAGAGTTGCACGCATGATTCTACGGAAGCTCAAAGTGGTAAATGGGTGAGGCAAGTGGTCAAATGGTGCGTGAAAGGTGTTCTAACAGCCCTACGCCTTTGAATATTGGAGCAGTACGCAAAACAAAATGTGAGCTGGCAACGACCGAGGAGGAGGAAAGGGAGGAGGTGCGGTGGCCGTGGAGCGGGCGGCGGCCGAGGGGGAAAGGGAGGAGGTGCGGTGGCCAAGGGGGAAAGGGGGGAGGTGCGGTGGCCGAGGGGGAAAGGGGGGAGGTGCTGTGGCCGAGGGGGAAAGGGAGGAGGTGCGATGGCCGCGGAGCGGGCGGCGGCCGAGGGGGAAAGGGGGGAGGTGCGGTGGCCGAGGGGGAAAGGGAGGAGGTGCGGTGGCCGCGGAGCGGGCGGCGGCCGAGGGGGAAAGGGGGGAGGTGCGGTGGCCGAGGGGGAAAGGGAGGAGGTGCGGTGGCCGCGGAGCGGGCGGCGGCCGAGGGGGAAAGGGGGGAGGTGCGGTGGCCGAGGGGGAAAGGGAGGAGGTGCGGTGGCCGCGGAGCGGGCGGCGGCCGAGGGGGAAAGGGGGGAGGTGCGGTGGCCGCGGAGCGGGCGGCGGCCGAGGGGGAAAGGGAGGAGGTGCGGCGGCCGAGAGGGAAAGGGGGGGGGGTGTGGTGGCTGTGGAGCGCGCGGCGGACTCTTGTGGTCAGCCTGACTTTTTGGACAAGCGTCTTGTAGCTGCTTGCATCGCCTATGAGTTCATGCTACAGTTGCAAGCATTCCAGGCCGAAATTGTTGACATCATCATCAGGGCTACCAATGTTAGAATATCTGTGCAGAAATGATAGGATTAGCAAGAGTTGTGGTACAAGTACTAGCCCTAGAAGTGTTGTACCCCAAAAGGAGTGCCCCAAAATAGCCTATAAGTAAGATTGTACTTTAACACACCCCCATAGGCTAAGTGGGGGACAACAAGAGGGTCACAAGACCATTCAAAAGTGGGGGACAACAAGACGGTCACAAGACCAGTCAAACAAAACAACAGAGCAAAGCAAAGCAAAACTTAGGGTGGATCTCAAGGACACCACACAATCCGAGCACAAGCAAGCGGCCATAAGGTCAGTTCACATGCAGAGATTTAATAGCAAGGTAGTCCACTGATTACAGCCTATCAAGAGGAAATATGCAGGTAAAAATATAGATATCAGTGTACAACAAGTGCAAGATCAAGAGACAAGCAGGTGAGGTAGAACGGCCAGAAGCCCAAGAGCAATTCAAAAACGCTGAAGACCACCAGACCCGAGGGCCTTGGTGAAGACATCAGCAGTGTTGGCCCGAGAGGCCACGTAAGAAAGACGAAGCTGACCACGCTGGTGCAGCTCTCGAGCAATAAAGTAGCGAAGAGCAATGTGCTTCGTTCTGTGCTCCAGTCTCTGCTTGCGACACAAGGCAAGCATTGCCTTGTTGTCGACGTAGAGAACAGGAGGGAAACGAGGCCGCTCCCCCAAGTCGGTCAGCAGGTAGGTCAGCCAGCGTAACTCTTGTGCAGCCATGGCCCCATCATAGATCTCGGCCTCACAGCTGGAACCAAGCACAGAAGAAGAACGAGTGGACCCCCATGAGACCGAACCAGAGCCAAGACTGAAGGTGTAACCTTGTGACGAACGCTGAGTCGCCTGGTCGTTGGCCCAAGAAGCGTCAGAGTGTCCTGTGAGTACCACTGGACCCCGTCCTCCAAGCACGAGCCCCATGCAGGATGTACTGCACAAGTAACGCAGTACCCTCTTCGCAGCATCAAAGTGCACCTTTTGGTGTCTACAGGGAGCCACGTAGCGAGCCAGGAGGCTGAGAGGGTACGCGAGGTCAGGTCGTGTGCACGTCATCAGGTACATGAGGCAATCCACAAGCTCTGGGTACAGACCACTCGGCTCTACACACTCGTCCGAAGGTGGACCTGAGAGCGAGTGGCCAGTAGACAGAGGAGTGGGCTGTGGCGAGAAGTACTGGAAGCCGAAGCGCCGAAGGACCTGGTGCACCATGTGTAACTGAGTCACGGTGATGGTGCGCCGTACTCTGTCCCGGGTGATTTGCAAGCCAAGACAGCTACGCGGCTCAACCAAGTCAGTGCAGGTGTCTCTCTCCTGCAGCTCCACCTTCACTAGCGCCAGCGCCTCGGTGTCAGCAGTAGCAAAAACCAGGTCGTCGATGTACACGAGAACGTAGAACGGTGGCAGGGTAGTGTCGGTGCGGAGAAACAACGACGGGTCAGCAAAGGAAGGAGCAAACCCAAGAGCCACAAGTGTAGTCCTCAGTGTGTCGTGCCACTCTCGGGGCGCCTGGCGGAGACCGTAGACTGGCCGCCGGAGGCTCCAATGGGTACCCGCAGGAAACGACCCAGTGAAGCCAGGTGGGCGGCGCAGCCAGATCTCCTCGTGAAGGCTGCCCTGCAAGAAAGCTGTGGAGAAGTCGAGGGAGTGCAGCTCGTAGTCACACTGTGCTGCAACGTGCAGCAGCACCAGAAGAGTAGTCATCTTTGGGGTGGGGGAGAAGGTCTAGAAGAAGTCGACCCCCTGTCGCTGACTGAAGCCTCGAGCAACGTAACGCGCCTTGAATGCAGGCGGAGAACCCGGCGGTCGCTTCACTCTGAAAATCCACATGCGATCGACTATGTTCGCCCCAGGAGGAGGAACATCGTCGGCGTAGGTGCGTGTGGACTTCCAGGAAGCCATCTCTACGTTCATGGCTGTCTGCCAATGAGAGGAGTACTTACCCGCGATCGCCTCAGCGTAAGAGCGCGGGATAGGGATGTCAAGTGCATCCGGGTCTCCCTCAGGGCAAAGCAGCATGGATGCGAAACGAGGTAAAGCCGCCGCAAGACACTCAAGCTCAAACTGCATATCCTCAAGGATGTCACTGCTAAGGGCAGGGTCACCCCCGACGGACGGAGGACAGACAGACTCAGACTCAGTAACAAGACTCGCGACGTAGTCGAGACGACTCCTAGCTGCAAAGTCGACTAGCTTAGTGACTAGGGCAAACGCAGCAGTAGACTCAAAGTCAGGGTCAGTGACGACAGTAGCGAGGAGACGAGTGACAGTAGGACTGGCAGCACAAGCAAGGTCGGACTCAGGGTCAGGAACGTGCGGAAGAGAGGACACGGGAGGCTCAGGCAGAACAACACACGTTGAAACAGAGGAAGGACGAAGTGCCATACCGTGAGTGTCTGGGACAGCAGGAGGACGAGAACGGCCAACACGACGAGCACGAACAGGTGTGAAAGAACGAGTCTCAGGCTCACGACGCTCAGTCAGGGACTCAGTCACCTCAGTGTGAGGAGCAGGAGCAGGCAGCAGGAAGTCAGGCAATAGCTGTGGCTGAGACTGGTCTGTCGATGAACTCAGGAGAGGTGGAGTGAGGCCAGTGGAAGACGCGAGACTAAGAACCTGGCGAAGGACCGAGCCAGGCGGCGGCAGAGACGACTGCGGCTGCGGGTAGAAAAACAGTCGGCGCAGGGCACTACCAACAGCTCCAGCGCCTACACCACCAGCAGCACCAGCACCTCCAGCACCAGCAGCTCCACTAGCACCTCCAGCACCTCCAGCACCAGCAGCACCACCCGCTCCGGCAGCTCCAGCTCGTCTAGTACGAGCACCTCCATGACCAGCACCTCCAGCACCTCCAATACCTCTAGTACCTCCAGCTCCAGCACCTCCAGCACCAGCAGTACCTCCAGCACCTCCAGTGCCAGCAGCTCCAGTAGCACCTCCAGCACGAGCAGCACCACCAGCTCCGGCAGCTCCAGTACCTCTAGTACGAGCACCTCCAGGACCAGCAACTCCCGCAGCTCCAGCACCAGTAGCACCAGCACCTCCAGTGCCAGCAGCTCCAGTACCCCCAGTACCTCCAACACCAGCAGCACCACCAACTCCGGCAGCTCCATCACCTCCAGTATGAGCACCTCCATGACCAGCAGCTCCAGCACCACCAGTGCCAGCAGCTCTAGCACCTCCAGCACCAGCTGTACCACCAGGTCTAGTAGGTCCAGCACCTCCAGGACTAGTAGCTCCGGCACCTCCGGCACCTCTAGTACCTCCAGCAGTACCTCCAGTACCTCCAGCACCTCTAGGACTAGCAGCTCCAGCACCGGCAAGACCGTTCCCCCCACCACCAAGACTGCCTCGCCGAACCATCCACGCACGAACCGCCTGCGGCGAAAGCGTCTCAAGTAGATCAGGCTGCGGTGGCTGTCCAACTCCAGGACCTCCAACAGGGTCACCCACAGCTCCACCGCCACTAGAACTCGCAGCACGCCCAGAGTCAGCACCCCCAGTCGCAGCACCCCCCGAAACCAGCACCCCCAGTCGCAGCACCCCCAGGCGCAGCACCCCTAGAACCCTCACCCTCTGTCTCAGCACCCCCAGGCTCAGCTCCAGCAGTCTTAGCTCCAGAGTCTACAGCAGCAGGCTGCAGAGGCGGTGAAGACGGCCAAGGTGGAAAACCCGGGGGGGTCTCCAAGCGTGGAGAGCGGCGAGTGGCCGCCGTGTCGTCCGCGGCGGGGTCACCCCCCTCAGCTGGGCCAGAGGAGTCAGAAGAGATCTCCAGAGGCTCATCCAAGGGGGGTGGGTGTACCTGAGACACACCTGAGGGAGCAGGACCCTGCGGGGGGAGTGGGTCTACCGGGGGGGGGACTGATACCAGGAAGAGAGGCGCGAGGGGGGCCGGGTAGGACGCGTGCGGGTGTAGCCTGTAGTAACAGACAGACTCGTCAAAGGTGACGTCCTGGGAGGCGAAGACTCGACGCGCGCGCAAGTGGTAGAACTGCCACGGCGGGGCATCGGTGGGGAAGCCAAGGAAGGCGCGAGGGGAGAGCATGCTCGCGGTGGTACTGCGAACAAGGGAGAGCGCGCCCCAGACCCGAAACGCTGACGCATCGCCAACCTGTCCCATCCAACGGAGTGTGGGTGAGGTCTCTGCCAAAGAGACACGGGGCCAGAGGTTGGACTAATGCGCTGCGTATCGGACTGCAAACGGCCACAGAAAATGGGGAGCAGCCGCATGGATCATGGAGGTACGAGCAACCTCCATGATCAAGCCAATGCGACACTCAGCAATCCCATTTTGCTGGGGAGAGGCCGGAAGCGTGAACGACTGGCGGATGCCCTCGTCTCGACAGAACTCCTCAAGGAGGCCAGAATAGAACTCACCCCCCCTGTCAGAGTGCAAAAGAAGGACTGGCAAGTCCCGACGAAACCGCTCGCGCAGTTGGCGACGAGTAGCACGGATCCAGAGGATCAAAACACCGCTGACGTCTGCCTTGCGCCGCAAGGGGAAGACAGTGGTGTAGCGTGTGTAGTCGTCAACAACCAGCAAGAAGTAGCGCTCCTGGTCTGTTCCACCGACGGGTGCCGGGCCCCACACGTCCATGTGGAGAGTCTGCAGAGGAGCAGTGGTCGGAGGAAACTCGGAGGAGTGAGGAGCGGCGCGCTGCCCCCCCTCGACGCAGGGAATGCAGGGCGGTGCAGGCGAGCGCGGGAGGGAGGGCAGGGACCTGGGAAGCCCAGAGACAAGGAGACGGGAGTGCATGCTGCGGAGACGCGGCAGTGAGGGGTGACCGAGGCGGTGGTGCCAGAGGAGAGTGTGGTGGGAGAGTACCCGACACGAGCAAGACGCTGCAAGCTGACCAGACGCAGACACCTGACTCGATGCAGCCACCTGAACGGCCTCAGCCACCTGTGCAG